TGGTCTGTGTTCATAAGATGCAATAACATTATACTTTAGTGCAGCTAACTGCAAGGAGCTATGAAAATCAATAATATCTGATGGTGAGGAAAGATGGGAGAGGGGAGGATTTGCAAACAGTTGCTCTATAGAGAAAACAGAATTATACACAACAAGAAAATTAAGTCATTACTGAGAAGATGACTTCTAAAATAGCTATATACAGGAAAAGGAAAATCAATCAGTTTTCTTTTATGAAGAACTATTCAAAGACGTGAGGATAGAGAAAACTTCTCTTTCATAAGGGAGGGAAAAGGTGAGGTAACCAAACAAGAATACAGTTCGAACTTGCAGGGTATAGCAGTCAGTTACAAGACCTTTTTTTTTTTTTTCTTAACTTATTTCATTTTGAGAGTAATCATAGTGAGACAAGAAGTAATTCAGAATGTAGATTCATTTGAAAGTAAATGAAAGTGGCTTCCATGGTTGAAGTATTTCTTCCAGTCTTTCAGTGTGAAAGAATACAAAGTTAAAAAAAATCTTATAGAAATACTTATCAGTAAAGCACTAATGGGAGCTTTTTTCAGATGTGAAAGAATAGAATGGTAAAAAGGGACTGTGAAATTCTAAGCTGTGTATACAGAAATACCAAGGAAAATAGATGATTTCTTCTTCCAAGTCTGTGATGTTGTCCTAGAATAGTTTCTGTATATACATATAGCAGTGTGCCATTGGAAAATACTGACAAATTGTTGGGAGTATGTGCAAATAAGACCTGTGCTTTCAGGGAATAGCTGTTCCTTTCTTGCTATGTTGTCTAGCAGAAATTTGAGTCAGGAGCCTACAAATGGAAATGGTGAATCTGATCTGTCAATAAAGTAAAGGAGCTTCTTATTCAAGTCAAAAGTGACATAGCTGAGAATAGGAAGAAAATACTGAGCCATGTAAACAAGGTTTCAACAGGAAAGTTGGTATTTTATCCAAGAAAAGGCATCTCTTAAAAGTGTGTGGTGGAAACTTCATGAGCTCTCAAGGAAATGGGCTCATCTAAGCAAAGTGTTGATGTGTCTCAGGGACAGCTGTTCTCTGTTCAAGAAAAGGACTGTGTCACTTACTAGAAATATTTGTATCTTAAACTTTATGCTCAAAAAGTTGAGTAGTTTTTCTCTCAGTAACTCAGTGATTCACTACAAAGGGGCAGGAAAGATAGAATATTTTCCGATGGAAGGGACCTACAGTCATCATCTAGTCCTACTACTTGATCACTTCAGGGCTGTACACATCATGATGGACATTGTATCCAGACCTGAAACAAATGATTTGTTTTATGTATAGTATCAGAGGTGTTTTTTACTGCACTTGAAGTGCCATAAATTTAATCTCTGTGGTGAATTTCTCCTCACGAAAATTTCTCCTCTCACTTTTACAGTCCATATAGATGCCAATTTTGCCGAGATTAGATGGCGGTTTCCAAACCTTAATAGTTGGAGTTTTTGCTAGTTTTTAATAAGTTTCAGAGTTAACTATGTTGAACAATAATATAAGAATCACATACAAACACTAGTGCATTTAAGCAGAATGTTAAGGAGACTGAATGACATTTGCTTAAGGTATCGAGTTAGAAAAATACAAATGCAAATATCATATGAAGCATCTGACTCTTAGAATGGCGATAAAAAGGATTTAGTATAAGCGAACATAAAAACAATACCCTTTTCTGCTTAAATTTACTTATTGAATCTGAATTGTTTCATATTTCTAGTGCATGTTGTATAATTTCAGCGTATTTTTAGGCCATTAGGAGCAGGTATCTTCAAACAGCAGATTTCTCATGTATTCAGTGTTCAACTTCACTCTTTTAATTGAGACCAATTGTTAGACTCCAAATGAGATGTAATTTTTGAACTGTGTCTTATTGTGAATGCAAAGATAAAGCAAATGAAGCAGTTAAGAAGTCAGGGTTAATTCCATGCAAAGAGACTTTTCAGATATACTAAATCATTTACTTTTCTTGTTCATGTTCATACACCTGACTTCTGCTCCTTCACATTTGAGATGTTGATAGTGAGCAGATAAAATCACCAAGGTTTTAGTCATCTGACAATTTAATCACAAGCTGTCTTTAGTATGCATATTGCACAGTGCTGATAAACAACGATGAAATTTCTGCCACTGCGCTGAATATTTTGGAGACGTTATTCAAGGCTTAGAAGACTGACAGGCTGTTGGCTTAGACTTGGAAACTTTTATTCTCGAAGACTTTGCATATTCTGTGCCAAGTCTCTTGACTTTCTCTGTGCTGGTTTTGTCAATGATGTAGTTGGTAGAACATACCTGCCCTTGAGTTAAGTTTACAATTAAATACCACAATGGTTGGAAAACCTCAAATGAGAGGCATAATAACGGTTGAAAAATACTTATTTTTTATCCTTGCGTGCCAGTTTTCTTGATTCAGAACAATCCTCAAGGCATGAATCAAATAGTCTTGTTTTTGCTCCAGCAGACAGTTTCCCAAAGTGCTGGACTAGAGCAGAATTGACTGGTGGTGTTGATTAAGCTAGTGAGTGGTGAGTGCTTTCTGTGAAGAGTGATGGTGTTTTAACACTATCCCTGAATGGACAAAGCGTATTCATTGCTGCTGGGTTTGTTCCAAGTTGGAAATTTATGACCTTGCTCCTCAGATAGCATTCCTTTGTAATGGAAGCAGTTCAGTTAGAAGCTTGCTTTGGAGAAAATGGTGGCAATATCCATTTTAACCTAGGTTGGTTGTTGTTTTTTGTTGTTGTTGTCTTGTTATGTTTTGTTTTTATATTCCTTCACGATATATATGAAAAATGAATGTAGAAGGCAAGTTACATATACAAATTTCATTAAAGTTCTACCCAGCTTAATCTATAAAGCAATCCAACTTGCCCTGATACCTAATACACACTATAATTGCTTTTTATGCTTTTCCTTTCATGAGTAATCACAATCAATTTACTGAAAACGTGGTTTGCTGGAGTTTGCATTGGGGAATTGTTTTGCCTACAGACATCCCAGTTGCCAAGACACTGTTTCAAAGATGCTTTTGATTTTCTTTATTCTTGTAGAACAACTGTAGTTTGCAATTGCAGTAAGTGACAAGCAGATAACTATCCAAAAAACTGAGGTCCACCAATACATTCTAGAAGTCAAGACTTGTTATTAATTTGTTAAAACCCTGAAAGAAAAAGGATAGGATTTCTCTTTAATATGACAAGTATATCACTGGTTCTGAAAACTTGAGACTTCCAGAGCACCTGTATGCTTCACACAAATTACAGCTACATGATCCAGTGTATGTTTGGTCAGGTTCATTGACCTGACTTGCAGATACCATTCATGCTTTGCTCCCTTATAACATGACAGGCGCGTTGAATGATTTAATCTGCCTCACTTTGTTACCAGTACTCTGTTGACCTCTTTCCTAATGTGATGGAACAGAAAATGTCCTTGTAAACTGATAAATGAACACTGTTATGCTCTGGTGATCTGCTCAGCACATATTTTTGGATGGAAAATTTGGACACTGATCCAAAAGTGATAAGGGTCAAAATAAGTGATTTTTCAGTTTATTACTTGCATCTGTCACTGAGCATCTTTTTGGTTTTTACATTTAAGATGGACCATGAGTCATTTTAATGTGTACCTTGTCTAGACAGGGATTGCCTACTAATTTCTAGATCAAATAGCGATTTCTGAAATTACTGGGCAGGTCTGGATTCTTCTGTCTCTCTTTTCTGCTCTCCTCTAAGTCTACCTCTCAAATGGCAGAGTTGGATCACGGAGTTTGTAGTTGTTAACCCTTTTTTTCTTTTTCTTTTCTTTTATAATGTTCCCTGCTCTCCTGGGCTATTTAGGACAATATGCTACTTCTTTACCTATCTGTCTCATCTTAAAGTGCTTCAGAGCCCTCTGGCTGAGAACATGGTTCTCCTGGCAGCAGCTTCTCCTTTTTAGTTCAGTGCCATCTTTACAATGTGATTAAGACTGCCTTACATTCCCTGCTGTGCCATGTGTGCTGCTAGTCTGAAGTTACAAATTCTCTTTGAAACAGATTCAGTGTTTTCAGGCAACTTGTGCGCGTTGTTTCTGACTTGAATGGCTGAAGGAAGTCAGTAGTCCCTAGGAATCCAAAACTGTCAAAAATAACACCCCCTCACCCATGAACCTAAGGTAGATAGTAACCTAGCACTAGATTTGTAAGTGAAGAATAAGCAAAAAAAGGGAGAAGTAAGAATTGTGTTCCATATTGCATACAAAGATATGCAGAAGGTGTAACTAGACTTTTGTTTAGAGAAGGTCATAGAATGGATTTTTTCTTCCCCTCCTAAGAGAAGAAAGAAATGGTCGTATTTTTGTCTAAAGGAAAGAGGTTTGTATAGTCTTTGTTTTAAAAGTAGGTAGTTGTATTTGCCTTCTGCTTCTTAGGAGATTTTTGGAGGGGAACGGAAAGAAACAAAAGTATTTTTCACTAGTGAGAGAAAATTTCTTAAGCACAGTACAAACTGAAATTACTGTTCTTTTTGAGATTAATAAAAAATTACCTTTGGTTTAGGTCTCTGTATAAACAGCTGCACCCATCCATTTATTTAAGTATGGCTCAGATAATTTAGTTTTATAAGTATCAAAAACAGTTTGACAGGCCAAGCAAATAAAGGTTTTGTAAAAGCTTTTAGAGTTCAGTTGATTGCTACCTAAGGCCATTTGATTAATCCACAGCCCTTATAATCACTATTGTAACCATGCTGGAAATGCTTATTTGATAAATATACTGTGGAAGTCTGATTCTTCCCACTGTCAAAGTAAGTAGTATTGAATTTATTTTTTTCTTAGACATTTATTATAAGAATGGCACTGAAATATCTTTTTTTGCCACCTCAGAATGAAAGATTTTTCTTACCTGATCAAATGGTGTTAAACTCAAAGGAGAGAATAAGCCAAGTTACTGTAGTGATTTATCTCTTCCTGTTGTTTTTTGTTTCGCTTTGTTTTGAAAGGACTAACCAACCGGGAATGTTCACAAAGAAAGAATTTCATCAGTTGGCCTCAGCAATAGACAGCTTCAGTCTCATGACGTATGACTATTCAACACCTCAACGGTAAGACTCCATCTAACATTAGAAAAAGGTTGCTGAAGGAACTGATCCTCAGTTAAGTGACTATTAAATCTACAGTATGAGTTCATTTTTTTAGTAAAGTGGATGGTGTGTGTCAACTGTATCAGATACTAAAGTTTTAAATTAGTAGTTAGGATAGGTGATTTTTGAACAAGCCAATATCTCGGGACATTGTTTAACAGCAGTGTATATTTGACACCCAGATATTGTGAAAGGCTTTGTACTCAAGGTAAAAAATTATCCATTTACTAGTTCAATGACACTCACTCTTTTCCAGGCCAGGTTCTTTTGTTTTCAGTATTTAGCACAGTTCTGCAAGATAGTTCTGCATGAATAATCTAGTACATGTCATTAAAAAAATTAGCTTTAAAGAACAATGGACAACTCATTTGCTTCATCTTGAGGCAGCAAACTGCCTTTTGGCAGCACTGCTAATGTGAACATGCTGGAATGTGTTTTTCCGTTCTTCCCCTAGTCCCTGCCTCCCTTGTACTGATACAGCTGCTCATGCAGTAGTTCATAAACCAGATCAAGGAGCTGATCTGACTGAAAAATAACACAAAACCCAATTCTTGTACATGAATGTTCATTTTCAGGAACTTAATTATTTTAACTGTGTGAAAGGGGAACAGCAATGTAGTTGAGAGGTCCTTAAACTCTACAGAGACTCTTTACGTTACTATTTTCCAAAAGTATGGTTCCTCCAAATTGCAGGTAAGGATATGCTTTTGGAGTTCCTGGGAGATTCTGTATGTCTTGCTTCAAGACTGTTCAAAGTTAATATTCGTGGTAAGCTGGCAGATTTAGAAACGCCAGCATTTTTGTGTTTATTACATCACTAAAACCTTTGTCGCCTGTAGTATATTAACATTTCGATAATGTCTGGACAGGTTTAACAGAAAGGAACTTTTGTCTCTTCTAAAAAGGTTTTAAATACCTCCTTCTTATCTTCCCCCAGGCCTATCTCTACATAGGCAGTGATGTATCCTGAAGTTAGAACAGGTTTTCTTGTTACTCTCCTGCTGGAATATGCAGCATAGGTATATCCTGTTTAGCTTTCCTCGAGGTAAATCTGACCTCTATGAAGATGAGGTGCTGAGGGCATTTGTACAGGCTGTACAAACCCATCTGGAACCCTGAATGCGTTTTGAAATACCGTGCTGTAGGCTGCATCTTCCCTGTGTGGCGAAGCTGTACCATGCTTTATGCCATGTTAAAATCACAGCTTCTGTTACAGTAGAGTCACATCTTTCTGCTTTCACTGGTGCTTTAAGTTACTTAGACCTGACTTGGAGCTGCCAGTCTTTTTTCACTTGAAAGGAGGACGGAAGCATTCTTTAGTTCACACCCATTGTATTTGAAATAAATGTAGTTTCTAAGATGTCATGCCTTTAGTCTTAGAAAGGATTTGATAAAAAGAATTCAAATCTCTCTTGCTTGAATTTGCTTTGATTGGGCTGAGTATATGAAATACAGGATAATACTTATGTTTTCTCACAATTTTTTTGCCTTTAAATAACAACACAATTTCCAGCAACATTCCTGTACTGTGTTAGCACATTTGAGTTTTAATGGCACAGATATACTGAAGGCTTTGAGGCAGATAATTGGTAGGGAGTAGATGTTTATGTTTGTAAGACTAGAATATGCTTTTCCTTTTATCATGTTAGTGAGTGTTTGCGATGAAGCCCTGCTCTCTGCTCTGATGAGACAGGAATGGAATGAGGATGATATCCTGATACTATATGTATGACAATTCAATTACTCTGTGTATTAAGGCTCTACTCTTCTTCTTAATGTAGTTTTTTGTTAGGTAATTGCCTATTTAGGGTTTTATCCGTAAGTAAGTGTTAAACAATCATTGATGTTGTCTTGCTTACCAGCTATTGATTTTATAGTTCTTTCTGTAAGTAAATGGTGGATTTTGTCCCAGTACGTCGTGCCAGTTTACAGTAAAACATTGAGGATGGTATTGGAAAACAACTGAAGTCATAAAGAGTTTGGAATTATCATGTGGGTATTGTGCCAGGCCCAATGGCAGAGAAAATGTGCTTGATGGAAATATTTTCTTACCCACTGTAAAAAGTTTTGTGTCCCTTCACCTTAGAAAAGAATCCCAATGTCATGAGTGGGACGAGCATGTTTTGTGCATCAGTACTTGAAGCCACTGAAGAATGTGCATTTAAGCTTGGTAGGATTGTAGGTTAACCTTTGCTGGTTTTCGTGTGCCATAGTTTGCTCTTTATAATTACACTAGTCAAAAAGAGAAAGCTGAGAATGAACGTGTACTGTTTCTGACAACCTGTTTGACTTTTGCTAACTTGACAGACCTGGTCCGAATTCCCCTCTTCCCTGGGTGCGAGCCTGTGTTCAAGTACTGGATCCTGATTCAAAATGGAGGAATAAAATACTTCTAGGGCTGAATTTCTATGGCATGGACTATTCTGCTTTGGGAGGCTCTGGGGAGCCAATCCTTGGTAGCAGGTAAGACTTCTCTGGAGAGTAAGTACTTATGTGTAGTGTATTCTCACGAAACTTAGAAATTCATAAGTATTCTTGTTTAGAAATATGGATGTGTTAGTAACATAGAAATGGCAAAGGCGATAAATCTGCACATGAAATAGTAGCTCACCAGTTAAGAGTAAGACCTGTGACTTCTCTTCCCTGTACAGAAGTGCTGATAGATGGCACAGTTACCCTTTCAGAACGCCTATGGAAAAGTGATTTCTGTAGTTTTCCCTCTTCCCTCTATCCATGTTTGTACATGCAGTTTGCCATCTTTGTGTTAAAATGTTCTACAGTATTCTCTTATGCTCTGTATCATTTTGGAGGTTCATGCAGTTGACCTAAAGATTGTTTCTCTGAGCTCCTGAAGTTGTTGCCTGTTACTTTGAAATTTGATATTGGTTTCAAACAGCAATATGCCACCAAGTTTCTTTTGAGTAGAAAAAGCTGCAATAAACTCACCTGGAGATAAAAATCTATAACAAGATGAAGGGAAGTATTCTGAAGCCAGCCTGAAATTTTATTGATTCTCAGAGGAAAATGGTTGTTTTAGTTTTGGGTAATGACTACCTATAATAACAGTGAACTTTGTAGAAATACAGTCAGGGTATAGTACATCAAGCCAGAAGAAAAAGCAAGAAAAACAGTGTGAATTTGGCAGGAAGATCATGTTTGTTCAGAAGTTTGTTATTAACTTATAAAATAGAACCAAGCTAAATGGAAACAAACCTAAAGGACAAGATGTGACTATTTTCACTTTCACAGGTTACTAAGTTCATTACACCAGGATATTTCAATATAGTAACAGATGGTTGTTAGGCATTAAAATACCATCTGAGGTGGATTGTATAAAGTAAGGGCCTGAATTTTTTATGTCCATACCTTTAGTTACACGAACACTTTATCATCATCGCACTTGCCTCTGCTGTCTTCCTCCTTCACCTTGCCTATTTGCAGGAGTATAATACTGTAGACAGTTTTCTCCCTGTGCTAAATTCTGCCTGCACCTGACTGAATAACAGAAAATGACTATAGGGTGATATACTATACTAGTATATCACTAGTATACTAGTATATAGTGAGTATATCAGAATGGCTTCTGTAAAGTTAGTTGTGGTTAGGCAGGAAAAACACTCAATAGTCAAATCACTGTTGATTTGCAAGTCTAATTATACAAGCTCAGCACAATTAATGTAGCTGCACTGTAATATTTACAGTTCCTTTTGCAGGTAGGAGTGTAGCATTGTCTAGCAGAATTAAAAGGATCTTGCTTTTTTCTGAACTGCAACATTTGGAATTGAGTTTCCACTGGAAAACGTACTGAACACTAGGATGACATCTACTTTCACTTTTCATAGATTCTACTGAAATATGTTACAGTATTAATTCATGTTGCTTTTTAATTAATGGCAAAAATAAGAGTCATGTATGATTAATCTTTTACTGAAAGAGGCTATGTTTACTGGTATGTGGGACACTGGCGCACAATGTGGGACATGTTCTATACAGAGAATGGTCCTGTTAACATATTCTTCACTGACAGACTGTGATAGTGTAATTTTTCAGATATCTACCAGAAGCAAGGTTCTGGACAAAGCCTTTAAAAGACTTTGAAGTTTACCCATGAAACACATTGATTTTGTTTTTGCTGCCTTACCTATTAAACATCGTTTAATGGGTGATGTTTATTTTTCCAGAAATACTGTTTTGAGTGTGGTTATGTATTAGTCTTTACTGTATATGTTATGTGTAGTAATGTAATAGTTAAATAGGTTCAAGATAAACTAGCTTCAAAATAGGCCAAGCTTCTGACATAAAGAAAACAGAAAAAAGTTTATTTCTGTAAAATAAGCTTTCTGCCACTTGATTGGTAACAGGCTCTTTGTAAGGAAGTCCTAGTTCCTAACATCTGAGAGTCTTTGAAAACTGTCACTATCACACCCAGCTGAATCCCAGAAGTTAATCCCAGAACGGGCACAGTTTATTCAGAGATGCTTTTCCCCCCTTCCTCCAAAGAAGCTTCCCTCTTATTCCGTTATTAATGCTCTGGCTACATCAGATTTTTTCATTCTGTAATAAAACACATAGCTAAGGCCATTCCTTCTCACTTTTGTGTCTACTTTCTACTAAACAAAAAGGCTGCTCAGAAGTCACTTGATTATTTTTCTCACCTTGGCTCCTTAGTGAATCTGAGCTTCCAGTTTCTTGGTGACTGTAATCCAGTGTTAGTTATGACCTGTAAAAAGTTTTGAAGGATTGAGTCATGGCTCTTTCAAGGCACCCTCCGTATGTTGTAGTGATAGTGATGTTAAGCTAAAGAACTGGTATTAAAATGAATTCAAAATCTGTTCAGTTAAGTGCAGTATGGTGGGTATCAACTTTTTCATTGTAGGTTTCTCTTGAGGCTTTTGCGTCTGAAATTTATTGCATGTGCAGATCACCAACATGCCAGTGCTCCTTGGCACACTTGTTGAAGCATATTCATCAGAATCTGATCATCTTTAATAGAGAGCTGAAGAATTGTAAGGTTCAGTGGCAGGTGAACTGTATGTAAATGTACTATGCCCTTAAATTGATTATTAGTGTAGTTTACACATAGGATTACATGCAGAGTGCAAAAACCTTTGCTGGTGCCATGTTTGTGTTTTTCGTTAGGGATAGAAATTATGTGATGGAAAGAGGCTCTGAATGTAGGTAGATTTCATTCGTTGAATATTTTTCAGTCCAGAAGTTCATAAACTAACTTTCAATAGAATTTCTATTTGCATAAAATAGTACCTGGCAGTGTTGGTTTTTTTTATTGCAGAATGTAATCTAAAGGTAGAAGTACTTGATTACCATTTTGCTGAAAAGATATACAACCTTTCCATGTAATATCCTCTTTCCTTCATACACGCCATAAAAAGTAATATGTATATGTGTATTTGCTTGTGTACGTATATATATGAGGATTAAATGAAATGAAAGCAATTTTTCTGTTACAGCACAATGTAGTTTGTCTTTGGGTGTTTTTACAGTAGGAACTACAGCTTGTATTTGCAGTAACAACATGTTCGTCTTGCAGCTTTGTCACAAGTATTACTTGTTAATACAATGAATCAATTTCAGAGATTATAGAACATTCTGATGCTTTAAGCAACCAGGTACCACTGTTGTTTAGCTACAGGGATGCTGTATTCCTGTGCATATGTAGTTCTGACCCAGTTTGTGCGAAACACTGAGCCTGAAATAAAGGTGTTGTGCCTGTGATTCCCCAAATCACCTCTAGAGCTTCTGGCCATGTTTCTGCCCTCTGGCTGTCAAGAATCCAGTGTCTTAGATGCAGTCATTAGAACTTACCACTGTATTAAAATCCTGTCAGAACATAACTGTCTGGTGTTGCTGACTTGCTGCTCTAATGATCAGTTTGTTCCAGCGTGTCCTCTGTTGATACTGCAACCTGACAGTGTTTCTTCTCCACCTCAAAAGTGTATTTCTTGGGTAAATAATTCTTCAGTATACTCTGAAGCTTAAGAAATTGTTTAGCCTTTCTGCAGAATGTTTACCTTTGAGTCCTTTTTGAGACCGGTAGTAGGTCAGCAAGCCCCTTAATCTCACAAGCTTCTTACTTCCAATGTGCTTTTTTGCCTTCAGCTATCTGTTCTTCAGAATCTCTTAATCATTGGGACATTATGTTTCAGTTGTAGTAATACCTTTTGTTTTCTCTTGCCTTCTCATGGGAGGTTAGACAGCAGTACATTGGTCTTTTCCATTCTATGCCATCTAAAATCTGTAGCCTTTATGACCTGGGCCAAAAGTGAACTGTTAAACATCGTTTCTAGCTGTAAATTAAAAGCAATGTAAATCAAAGACTTTCACGTGGCAATGGTGCCACTTACGTTT